ACAGGAAAAATGGGATGGATTAGGTATGGACTTTGTGCCTGAAGTACAAAAGTAACTTAGGTGGTTTTGGGACATGTTGTTTTATGATATAGTTAAGATGTGTGTATGGGGAGAGGATTTGTTGCTCTGTCTCAGGCAGCAAAATATTTTGGGTTGGCCCTGTGCTAAGTAATAATATTTTCCGACACTGGTTCAAAAATGCCTAAAGGAATACACGCAGCTCAGCTTCTAGATCTCTTTTCTATATAGCAGGGGTCCTCAAACTAAGGCCTGAGGGCCGGATGTGGCCCTCCAAGGTCATTTATCCGGCCCTCGCTCAGGGTCAGCCTAAGTCTGAAACGACTTGAAAGCACACAAAAACAATAACAGTCCTATCACATCAGCCAAAAGCAGACCCACACTTCCCATGGAAATACTAATAAGTTTATATTTGTTAAAATGGTTCTTCATTTTAATTATTGTATTGTTTTAAAGTGTTCTTTGCACTACAAATAAGATATGTGCAGTGTGCATAGGAATTCATTCATTTTTTTCCAAATTATAATCCAGCTCTCCTACAGTTTGAGGGACTGTGACTTGGCCCTCTGTTTAAAAAGTTTGAGGACCCCTGCTATATAGGGAATTTACTATTGAATTCTTCCCCTGTAATCGGGCTTAACAGGAGTTTGACTTGGAGAAATGAGGAAAAATCAATCCATATGGTGTAGCAGATTGAGGGGTGGATGAAGACTCCAGTAGGCATGGGCTCAAATCCTCAGCCATGGTAAGCCACTGAGTGACCTTGGGCAGGTTTACACTTTCTCAGTCTAAAAGAGTGGTCCCAACCTTTTTTTGACCAGGGACCATTATCCAACATTACTACCAAAAGGGTTACAAATCAGTTTTGGGTCAACTTTAGATTTAGTTTGGTTATTTGGGGTGCTGATTCAGAATATTTCATTGGATAGACCACATCATCTCTAGTTTCTGATACGGAACATATGCCATCCAGTAGTCACAATCTGCTCGCCCACAGAAAACTATCTATATAAATAAAAATGTAATGTTCATTTGTGGGATTAACAGAACTCAAAAACCACTGGATGAATTGACACCAAATTTGGACACAAGACACCTAACAACTCAATGTATGTCCTTCACAAAAAATTGATTTTGTCATTTGGGACTTTTAGTTGCTGGGATTTATAGTTCACCTACAATCAAAGACTATTCTGAAGCCCACCAACGATGGAATTGAACCAAACCTGGCACATAGTTCTCCCATGACCAACATAAGATTCTGGAAGGGTTTGGTGGGCAGTGTCCTTTGGTTTTGGAGTTGTAGTTCACCTACATCCAGAGATCACTGTGGACTCAAACAATGATGGATCTGGACCAAACTCTACACGAATATTCAATATGCCCAAATGTGAACACTGGTGGAGTTTGGGGGGAAAAGAATCTTGACATTTGGGAGTTGTAGTTGCTGGGATTTGTAGTTCACCTATAATTACTGAGCATTCTGAACCCCACCAACGATAGAATTGGGCCAAACCTCCCACACAAAACCCCCACGTGGGCCACAGCAACGCGTGACAGGGGACGGCTAGTATTTAATAAGCCTTGGCACTATATGAGGGTTTTGTGAGACCAGTTGCTCTCATTGTGGTGGACCATATTTTAATTCTTGCAGACCACTGGTGATCCATGGACCACAGGTTGGGAACGATTGGTCAGAAAGGAACCACTGGTCTAAAAGAAAAGCAATGGCAAAAACATCTGCTAAATAAATCTCGAATAAATCAAACTTGGATAGAGCTGATGTGGTCTATCCAATGCCATTTTCTGAATCAGCACCCTAAATAACCAATTGCAGGGGAAGGATTCAACAGTCAATACACCTGTACTTAACTCAGGTATAGAAAACACATCTAGCAAGTGAACTGCTTGTATTGCTTTAGTCATTTCTGAAAATGCTGTTACTATGACTTAGCACAGGGCCAGTCCAAAAAAATCCAAAAAAAAAAAACCTTGATGGCATCCAACAACAATGAGAGAGTAATATTTAATTCTCAAACAACAAGTATTGCCTACAGATTTCTGTCTATGAATCCTCTACAGTACAAAAACATGGCTGCCAATTGGCAGCCATATCTGGAACATGACTGTGTTTTATGGATGAGTAATGACAAGCAGCACTCCCATAAACACAGCATTAAAGAGGAAGCACAATGTGGCAGCGGTGTCCCTTTTAGAAAATAAGCACAACATCCAAACAATATAGATAATATCCTGAACTCCAAGGAATGTATCTGGATTCTGTACCAAAGAACTTTTGGATAGAGGTCATTCGTTGTCATTTATACCTCATGACCAAGGTTTTTGGGAAGGTTGGATAGGAAGTATCATTCTTGAGTCTTCTACTTAAGATTCTAGACTCGATAGGCTATATATTTACAACGGTCTTTGTTCTTTGGGAGAGAGTTTCTCTTCTTTCTGCTATTGAGAAAGTCTCACTTCAGTCCTCTCATCTCTACTAACTTTAAACCAATTGTGAGGCCAAACTAAAGATGCCAGGCAGAAGAAACTGAGTGTACTTTGTGCCTGCTTTAATTTTACTGCCGAGGGCACTGAATTTCCTGCCTTTATCCACCGAGGCAGGAATGTAAGGACAGTGCATTAAATCAATCCCTTTGAGAAAAAAACAACTTCCAAGTAACTCCGGATTTTCATTGAGATTTCTGCTGACTACTTTCATGCCCCTTACCGTTTTAGGGGAGAAAAGAAATTTGAGCATAGTTTTTGCAGGGTATAAATAAATATGGCGTGCTGAGCAGATTGGTTTTGAGTGAGAAGGAGGTCTAATTTGGTGGGATTCTGGTTATGTTTATCATATATTCTTAAAGAACCATCTATTGTGTTATTTTTTATATCTTTCAGTTACAATACAGTGTTTCTTTGTGATAATTCTCCTGCAAGAAGGTATGACAGCAGCCATAAAATAAAATCCCACACTTTGCAAAAATGAACCTACTTTATGAGGTACAGTACCCGAAATATATAGGTTTAATGTATGCCAAAATGTGAAAGAGTGTCATCAGAACACCAAAGCAAATACAATTGAGAAGAAATTAATTCTTAATTGGTATGTTGAATCATGATACTCTTTCTTCTTCCATTAATGTTCCATTAAGGATCTCAGCTCTAAATCATTACTTGGATATAAATTCCATTGTCTTCCATAGAAGCTACCTCATATCTAATTCCGAATGTGGGTAAAATACATTTTGGGAACTCTTACATGGAGGCAAATAGTCCATGTGAATCAGACTTTATTCAATAATTTTATACTTTTGAGTAAGCTTTTACATCTGTCTAGATTCCCTAAAGCAGTGGTTCTCAACCTGGGGTCCCCAGATGTTTTTGGCCTTCAACTCCCAGAAATCCAAACAGCTGGTAAAGGTACTATATTTGATCTTGAAAGCTAAGCCAGGACAACTCTGGTTAGCATTTGTATGGGAGACCATCAATGAGTACAAAGACACTATAGCAGTGTTTCTCAACCTGGAGGCCAGGACCCCTGAGGGGGTCATGAGGGGGTGTCAGAGGGGTCACCAAAGAACATCAGAAAACAGCATTTTCTGTTGGTCATGGGGGTTCTGTGTTGAAAGATTGGCCCAATTCTATTGTTGTGGGGGTTCAGAATGCTCTTTGATTGTAGGTGAACTATAAATCCCAGCAACTACAACTCCCAAATGTCAAGGTCTATTTTCCCCAAACCCCACCAGTGTTCACATTTGGACATACTGAGTATTCATGCCATGTTTGGTCCAGATCCATCATTATTTGAGTCCACAGTGCTCTCTAGATGTAAATGAACCAAAACTCCAAAACTCAAGGTCATTGCTCACTAAACCCTTCCAGTATTTTCTGTTGGTCATTGGAGTTCTGTGTGCCAAGTTTTGTTCAATTCCATCATTGGTGGAGTTCACAATGCTCAAATCTCAGCAACTACAACTTCCAAATGACAAAATCAATCCCACCCCCCAAACCCCACCAGTATTCAAATTTGGGTGTTTCGGGTACTTCTGCCAAATTTGGTCCAGTGAATGAAGATATGTCCTGCATATCAGATATTTACATTGCGATTCATAACAAAAGCAAAATTACAGTTATGAAGTAGCAACAAAAATAATGTTATGGTTGGGGGTCACCACAACATGAGGAACTGGATTAAGGGGTCCCGGCATTAGGAAAGTTGAAAAACACTGCAGTACAGGCTACATTTCAGAGGTAAAACACTGGCAAATCCACCTCTAAAGATTCCTTTCCCAAGAAAATCCTATTAAACTCATGGGGTTGTCATAAATTGGCAAGTAACTTGAAGGCACATATACACAAGTTGTTACAGGGCATCATCAACAATTCACAATGTTTGGTCTCTGTCCTTTTAATGATAGCAAACCAACTTTCTGGATATTGTATCACTAAGAAGGGTGAGGGGCTTCTGAATTGAAATTATCTTTAAATATTGTTGGATTTTGGGTTGGGACAAAGCTATGTGAGAATGATTTTCCCTTGCAGGAATGAAGCAGCACTATAAATAGTAAAACATTGTCTCAGCATGCCTTTGATGCACTGCAACAATCTACAGAAACCTTGCAAATCAACTTTTCTGCAACTGTATCGGGGCCTCCTGCATGTACGGAGAAGGATGTATATGACTGGATAAATACAGAAAGGCAGAAAATCCTAATTTTCGAAGGCCACAGCAGTTAAGAGTCTGGAGCTGAGGACCCTAAAGAGGCATTTGGAAGAACAGCGTCTACATTTTCCCAGAGAATCCTCTATCTTCTTGACACCAGTTGGCTGTCCTGCCAGCTCTTTAGACTCGCTGCCAGGTTTTCGCTCTGACTTCTCTGCATGCAGAGAAATAAATTGCCAAGTGATGGGCTGTACAGGGAGATCCCTGATTTGTATTCTCATTAAGGAATTAAGGAAGGAGAGATCCATCTTCTTACCTTGAACTGACAGACACAAGTCACGGTGTCTCCGATTCGTAAGCACTCCCCATCGAATTTACAGGTATTGGTGTCACAGAGAAAGAGATCGTTTTCTCTGTCATCGTAACCTCAAATACAAAGAGAAAAATGCTGTCAGCTTCTGTCTGTGGGAAGGGAAATGATACAGAGGAATGGCTTTCAGATGCACATGGCACACCTAATCGGGTTGAAGAAGCAATATGCAACCTAGAAAAGCTGTCTTCCCTCTTTCCCACTTTGCCTTGTTCTGACTCCAGTTTCTCAAGGAGTTTGCAAACCCCTGGTTTATCTATTTTTCCTTCCTTCCTTCTACACAAGGAAATTTCATTTCCTCCAAATGAAGCGACATATATTTTGTCTGTGTTTCTGCTCCAGTGTAATGCAATTGTATATACATGTCTGGGTGTGTGTATATATATATATATATATATATATCCAGGTGGTGAGATGACAAAGCCTCCTAATAACAAAGATAAACAGGCTGTGTGCTTTTCGTGATAGGCTGTCCGATTCCAATGAAGATGGATCTCCTCCAGGTTAATAGGAGGAGTGCCAGATTCGTGAAAGCTGCTGAGAGAGCCTAGCTCCTTCCTTCCAGTTTTGACAGGCGGGCTAACCGATCTGGCTGAAGATTCAGCTCAGCAATGCCAGCTCATATTGGAGAACCTGAGCTCGATGCCATCGTCTTCTAAGGCTGTGTAGCAAGGTATTAAGCAAAACAGGCACCTTTAGGCTCTGAATCCTATCAAGCTATCAGTTGCATTAATATCTTCATGGTCTCACCTGCATCTTGGCTGCTTATTTGAAATGAAAACATACAGCAAAACTGCTTTTTTGTAATTGGTAGCAATGACTTTGACATCAGGGAGATAGACACGGCACCGAAAGCATCACATTCCTATTACACACCCTAAGCAATTTCAGGGATAGTTTGAACATCAGAAGGATGGGCTGAATAGTTATTGTGAGGATGAAGGACTAGCTTTGGGTTTCAAATGTGACTTAACAAAATGAAAGAAGTCAACGCAAGGCAATTGTGGACTTGGGTTGTGCTTCAAAGCAAGGACAGGGGGTGTTAAAGAGGTATAGAGTTAACATAGTTTTTTTTTCAAATAGTGTATACATGTTTTACTATTATTAGAATGTGTAAAATGACTACTGTCCATTGGTGGCTTTATATACCAATAGTATACACATGTTTTACTATTATTAGAATGTGTAAAATGACTACTGTCCATTGGTGGCTTTATATACCAATAGTGTACACATGTTTTACTATTATTAGAATGTGTACAATGACTACTGTCCATTGGTGGCTTTATTACATATATATTATGTAATAATAATAATAATAATAAATTAATAAAACATGAATGATAATAAAATAATAAAGCATGAATTATTATAATAAAATATAAATATATAATATAATAAATAAAATAATAAAAACATGAATAATAATGATAATGATGATAATAATATAAAATAATAAAAACATGAATAATAATGATAATAATAATATAAACAAAATAATAAAAACATGAATAATGATAATAATATAAATAAAATAATAAAAACCTGAATTATAATGATAATAATAGTAATATAAATAAAATAATAAAAACATTAATAATAATATAAACAATAAATCATGAATAATGATGATGATAATAATAATAATAATAATAATAATAATAATAATAATATAGTATAACTGGTGAAGGATAAGCTGCTCTTCCAAATGTATGAAGAAACCTAGCCTTATTCCAGTGTACCCAGAGAAGACCAATCCTGCTCTAAGGAAGGGAAGCGGAGAGATTCATCCTGGAGACTCCTGGAAACAATTTTTGCAAAAAGCAAGACTGTCTGGGCATCTCTGCACAACTGGCAAACAACAAACCCTCCAGACAGGGCTACAATTAACCTCTCCCAGGATGAAGCCGATCACAGGAAAAAAAAGGCAACTGACAAGGCAAGAGAGGCAATAAACTCCCCACAGCCTCTTCCTGATTCAATTAGTCCAGTGCACTTGGATGGCGTCTGGCAGCCCACTTGAAGTGGGGCTGAAACTGACCAGAGAAAGCAAAACAAGGAGACTGTTTAATGGCATCTGAAAGAAGGAAGGAGGAGAGAACAGCTTCGAGGACCTGAAAACTTGCCCTTCTAGGATCAGCTTCAATTGGGGAAGGGAAATATTTTGACTTCAGCCAACATTCTCTCCAAAATCAGTTTTGGAAAAAGTTTAGAGGAAGGTAAGGAGAAATTTAGGAATCCCATTTTTAGGAAGGATTCCTAAATCTATATATGTAGCAGTAAAGGAGAAGGAGCTTTCCAAGTGATCAGATTTGCTGGCTTCTTGGAAAGGAGAGTCAATGCTTGCCTTCCTGAAAGCTCTCACAACTGCTGCTTCAGACCGAGCCAGCCTGATGTAGTGCCTTGTCAAAGACTTTCATAGCTGGAATCACTGGGGTCCCTGCCACACAGTTGAATAAAATATTTTCTGCTTTGAGCTGGAATATATGGCAGTGTGGACTCAGATATCCCATTTCAAAGCATATATCGTAGGAGTTTCTGGGTTATATGGCTTTGTGGAAGGGCCCTGAGTTGGTCTGAGTTTTCCGGGCTGTATGACCATGCTCCAGAAGCATTTTCTCCTGACATTTCACCCACATCTATGGAAGACATCCTCAGAGGTTGAGAAGTCTGTTGGAGACTAAGCAAGTGAGGCTTCTATATCTGTGGAATGTCCAGGGTGGGAGAAAGAACTCTTATCTATTGGCCTCCTTGATTAGCATTGCAGCTTCAAAGCCTGGCTGCTTCCTGCCTGGGGAAATCCTTTGTTGGGAGGTTGGGATTGTTTTCTGTTTGGAAACTTTCTTTTTCTGGATCCCTCACTATATTGGAGTCTCTCCCTTAAAGTTGAGGGGTACAATCAGCCCTCCATATCCACGGTTTCTGTATCCATGGATTCAACCACCCCTCAAATAAATAAACACATCCAAAAAGTAGACTTTGTTGTGGGTTGCTGTGTGTTTCCATGGCTATGTTCCAGAAGCATTCTCTCCTGATGTTTCACCTACATCTATGGCAGGCATCCTCAGAAGTTGTGAGGTCTGTTGGAAACCAGGCAAGTGGGGTTCATATATCTGTTGGAAACTAGGCAAGTGGAGTTTATATATCTGTGGAATGTCCAGGGTGGGAGAAAGAACTCTTGTCTGTTGGAGTCAAGTGTGAATGTTGCAACTGATCATCTTGTTTAAAGTATTGCCTTCTCTCTCTCTCTTTCTCTCAATATCTTTCCTTTTCTCCTCCTGCTCTAACTTTGAATGCTCTGAAGCATCAGCCCCATCTGCACCCTAACAGCAATACAAAAAGAGCCAGACTATCAAGGCAGAAAATCTCACAATATCTGCTTGGAACTGGGTTATCTGAGTCCATACTGCCATATCTCCCAGTTCAAAGCAGATAATGTGGGGTTTTATTCAGCTGTGTGGAAGGGGTGAAGGTTTGAATCAGGGAGCCGGGCCATGCATGCAACCCAACCCCATTCTGTTATGTCGGAATGCACAAGCAAAGCCCTCCCGACAGATGGCCATACATTGTCTCTCTCCCTTCCATATATTAGCTATGGTACGAATAAGAAAGGCTCTTGCTATGCTGGCAAGATCTTAACAGAGCAATTCCATGCATAACCAAAGCCCTCCTGACGGATGGCCATGCATTGTCCCTCTCCCATATATTAGCAATGTTAGGAATAAAGAAAGGCTCTTGACACAAGGGCAAGACCTTCCCAGAGCAATTCAATGCACAACCAAAGCCTTCCCAAGAGAAGGCTCTCCCTTCCATATATCAGCAATGGTAAGAATAGAGAAAGGCTCTTGCCAGGCGGGCAAGACCTTAGCAGAGCAATTCAATGCACAACCAAAGCCTTCCCAAAGCCAACCAAAGATGACCATGCACTGTCCCTCTTCCTTCCATATATTAGTAGTAAAAAAGACTCTTGCCAGGTGGGCAAGACCTTCAGTGCACAACCAAAGCCTTCCCAACAGATGGCCATGCATTGTCCTTCTTCCTTCCATATATTAGAAGTAAAAAAGACTATTGCCAGGCAGACAAGACCTTCAATGCACAACCAAAGCCTTCCCAACAGATGGCCATGCATTGTCACTCTCCCTTGCATATATTAGTAGACGGCCAAGACCTTACCAGTGCAATTCAGTGCACAGCCAAAGCCTTCCCAACAGATGACCATGCACTGTCCTTCTTCCTTCCATACATTAGTAGTAAAAAGACCTTACCAGAGCAATTCAATGCACAGCCAAAGCCTTCCCGACAGATGACCGTGCATTGTCCTTCTTCCTTCCATATATTAGCAGTAAAAAAGACTCTTGCCAGGCGGGCAAGACCTTCAATGCACAACCAAAGCCTTCCCGACAGATGACTATGCATTGTCCCTCTCCCTTCCATATATTAGTATTACCAGAGCAATTCAATGCACAACCAAAGCCCTCCCGACAGATGGCCATGCATTGTCTCTCTCCCTTCCATATATTAATAGTAAAAGGACCTCACCAGAGCAATTCAATGCACAACCAAAGCCCTCCCGACAGATGGCCATGCATTGTCCCTCTCCCTTCCGTATATAAGCATTAAGAAAGGCTCTTTGCCCCTCGAGCAAGCCCTTACCAGAGCAATTCCACCCGGTGGGCGTTTGGCAGTCGCTTAAGGAGGTAGGGAAAGCGGCCAGCTTGGCCGGGCGGGCCAGGAAGAAGACCATCCCCGGCAGGAGGAACCAGCACAAGCAGTCGCTCAAGGTCCAGCCACCCCCTCCTCCTCCTCCTCCGTGGCAGTGCCGGGCCGGGGAGGCGTCGGGCCAGCCCATGTCTCCTCCTCCTCCTCCCGCGGGGCTCAAGCAGAGGCCAAGCGCCCCCCGAAGCGGACCGGGCTCTCTCTCCAGGCTGGCGGAGGGAGCGAATGCCTTAGCATCCCGGGGAGTCTAGCAAGCCGCAGCGGCAGCAGCAGCAGCGAAGGCGGAGGAGGCGTCCCGGCATGGCGCGAGGCGGAGGAGCAGCTCTGCGCGCGATCCTAAGAGTTTCCTCCGAGGCCCAGCCCGGGGAGCAAAGGGAGGAGGGAGGATGAAGAAGGAGGAGGAAGAGGAGGAAGGAGCAGCCGCTGCCATAAGGGGTCGGGCTGAGCCGGGAGGAAGGAAGGAAGCAAGCAAGCAGGAGGAGAGGAGAGTCCAGAGTCCGCAGCTAAAGCTTTGCCGCTTCCACCACCGCCGCCGCCGCCGCCTTCTTCTCCTCCCGCATCATCTTCCCTCTGGCGCTTGGGCGCGCGGCGGCAGCAGGTTCCCCACTCCGTCACGTGGCGCGGGCAGCGCGGCTCCTGATTGGGCGAGCGGGATGCAGGAGGAAGAGGAGGAAGAGGAGGAGGAGGATGCTCAGGCGGCATAAAGAAGAAGCGGCGGATGGATGGAGAGAATGAAGAGGAAGCAGGCAAGGCAGCATCACTACTATTTACTATTTCTCGGATTGGGGGGCTCTGCTCTCTCCTCCCGCAGCCTGGATCCTGCCTCAAGGGCTCCTCGGTGGCATCTCCTTGAGGTTTGAGGACCTTGCGCGGCGAGATCGGGGGAAAAGTTAACGAGGAGGGTCGGGGAAGGGCTGCAATGCGCTCCTCCGAGGTGTTTGCTCTCTTTCCTTGCCTCTCTTTCCTTCTACACTGTGGGATGACTACAGTTCGGTACCCAGGGCTCAAGAGTTTGGCAAAGAGAGCGGAAACCTCCGGATTCCACCGCATTGAGCCACACTCCATTCATTCTACAGCGTAGATGCCCGTCTAGGGACCTCATCACACTAGAGAATGAATCCACTTTCAATCCGGTTTCTGCTTCTGAGGTTTGTAGTTTAGGGAGGAGCCTTAACAGCCTTAACAGCCTCACTAAACTACAAACCCCAGAATTCGGATTTAAACTAGATTCATTCTCTAGTGTGATGAGGTCCTATTATATCTCAGTCTAGGGCCCCTTCCACGCAGCTGAATACAGTCCCACCTGATCTGCTTTGAACTGGGTTATATGGCAGTGTGGGCTCTGATAACTCAGTTCAAAGCAGATATAGTGAGATTTCTTGCCTTGATATTCTGGGCTATAGGGCAGTGTGGAAGGGCTCTGAGTCCACTCTCAGATATTGTGGGATTTCCTGCCTTAATATTCTGGGATATACATCTGAATAAAATCCCACATTATCTGCTTTGAACTGGGATATAGGGCAGTGTGGGCTCAGATAACTAAGGGCCCTTCCACACAGCCCTATATTCCAGAATATCAAGGCAGGAAATCTCACATTATCTGAGTATGGACTCAGATAACCCAGTTCAAAGCAGATATTGTTGGATTTCTTGCCTTGATATTCTGGGTTACATGTCTGTGTAGGAAGGCCCTCAAATAACCCAGTTCCAAGCAGATCCTGTGGGATTTTCTGCCTTGATGTTCTGGGATATAGGGCTGGGTGGAAAGGCCCACAGATAATCCAGTTCCAAGCAGATCTTGAGGGATTTCCTGGCAGTGTTGGCTCAGATAACGCAGTTCCAAGCAGATCTTGAGGAGTTTTCTGGGATATATGGCAGTGTAGACTCATATAACCCAGTTTCAAGCAGACCCTGTGGGATTAGGTGGGATATATGACAGTGTGGGCTCAGATAACCCGGTTCCAAGTAGATCTTGTGGGATTTTCTGGGATATATAGCAGTGTGGACTCAGATAACCCTGTTCCAAGCAGATCTTGTGGGATGTTCTGGGATATATGGTAGTGTGGGCTCAGATAACCCGGTTCCAAGCAGATCCTGTGGGATTTCTGGGATATATAGCAGTGTGGACTCAGATAACCCAGTTCCAAGCAGATCTTGTGGGATTTTCCGCCTAGATATTCTGAGATATAGGGCTGTATGGAAGGACACGTTCTCAGTCTTTCCTCTGGGAGAGTTATAGATCCGTTCCCAAGCCATGGTGTTTGGGCGGAGAGCCAGCACAGCAGTTCCAGCCCTTGGGTCTCTCTCTCTCCCTTGTGTGTGTGGTCTTGTCGCATTTGGAAAGGGCACTTTGACTCCGCGCTGGAACAAGGCGGATGGCGCGAGATAGATGGGATCCGGAAACGAGAAGTCTGCTCCAGGCGAACCCTAGAGAGGTCTTGATTCCACTGGGGAAGGAAAGGAATCTAGAAGGAGGCCCCGCACCTCCCTCAGTCAGGCGCCCCTTCCCCTCAAGAGAAGCGTTGTCGGCGCCAATCCGCTATCTCATACTCTGGGACCAGTCCTTTACCCCGAACAGGAGCCCCCGGTGGCGCAATGGGTTAAACCCTTCTGCCGGCAGGACTGCAGATGGAGAGGTCAGGGGTTCGAATTCTGGGAGAGTGGCTTAAGCTCCCTCTGTCAGCTCCAGCTCGACATGACAGATGCTTCCCACGAGGATGGGAAAAAAACATCAAAACATGCCAGCGTCCCCTGGGCAACGTCCTTGCAGGTGGCCAATGCTCTCACATCGGAAACGACTTTGCAGTTTCTCAATTCACTCCTGACACACACACACACAACAGGATCCTTGGAAGCTCTTGGTGTGGAGACTACACTGCCATACCAAATCCAGATTGTCCGCTTTGAACTGGATTAAAGGACCTGGGAAAGGGACCCACCCGTGTTCGTATCCAAAAAGTTGGTGGGTGGCTAAAGCTATAGCGGGATGGTAGAATCCGAGAGTTGGAAAGGACTGAGTCCAACTTGAGTGCACAATCAAAGCCCTCCTGACAGATGGGCACACCCCCCAGTTGTCTCCTTCTTCCCCTTCCAAACCGCAGAACGCTCCCACTCCCTCACACACAACCAGGCGCTTTGTTTTGGATTCTAGCTGCGTTTCTCTTTGCAGATTCATATCCGCCTGGCTGTGTTTGACAGGCCGAGTGGGTAAAGGTGGTGGTTAATGCCTCCCTTCGGGAAGGCATAATTCCAGCCAGCTTAAAACAAGCTGTTATAAAACCGCTGTTGAAAAAACCATCACTGGACCCCACTCAATTCGTCAACTATCGGCCTGTTTCCAATCTCCCCTTTTTGGGCAAAGTCCTGGAATGTGTGGTGGCCTCACAACTCCAAGCATTCTTGGTAGACACTGATTATCTGGATCCGGCGCAGTCTGGCTTTAGGCCGGGGCATGGTACCGAGACAGCCTTGGTCGCCTTAGTGGATGATCTCCGGCGTGAGCTTGACAGGGGGAGTGTGTCCCTGTTGGTTCTGCTGGACCTCTCAGCGGCCTTCGATACCGTCGACCACGGTATCCTTCTGGGGCGCCTCGTGGGAATGGGCCTGGGGGGCGCTGCTTTGCAGTGGCTCCAGTCCTTCCTAGAGGATCGTACCCAGAAGGTGTTACTGGGGGACAACTGCTCGTCCTCACAACCATTGACTTGTGGGGTCCCGCAGGGTTCAATACTGTCCCCCATGTTGTTTAACATCTACATGAAGCCGTTGGGAGAGATCATCCGGAGTTTCGGGGTGCGGTGTTATCTGTACGCAGATGATGTCCAACTCTGTCACTCCTTTCCACCTACTACTAAGGAGGCTGTCCTGGTCCTGAACCGGTGCTTGGCCGCTGTGTCGGACTGGATGAGGGCGAACAAATTGAAACTCAATCCAGACAAGACAGAGGTACTCCTGGTCAGTCGGAAGGCCGAACAGGGTATAGGGTTACAGCCTGTGCTAGACGGGGTCGCACTCCCCCTAAAGGCGCAGGTTCGCAGCTTGGGTGTGACTCTGGATTCTTCGCTAAGCTTGGAACCCCAAGTTTCAGCGGCGTCCAGAGGAGCATTTGCACAGCTTCGGCTTGTGCGCCAGTTGCGCCCGTATCTTGGGAAGTCGGACTTGGCCACGGTAGTCCACGCTCTTGTCACATCCCGTATAGATTACTGCAACGCGCTCTACGTGGGGTTGCCCTTGAAGACTGCCCGGAAGCTTCAGATGGTCCAGCGTTCGGCAGCCAGGTTGCTAACGGGAGCGGCACTCAGGGAGCACACCACTCCTCTGTTGAGCCAGCTCCACTGGCTGCCAATTTGCTACCGGGCACAATTCAAGGTGCTGGCTTTAGCCTATAAAGCCCTACACGGTTCCGGCCCCACTTACCTCTCTGAACGCATCTCCACCTATGAACCGGCGAGGTTGTTAAGATCGTCTGGGGAGGCCCTGCTCTCGGTCCCGCCAGCGTCACAGGTGCGGCTGGCGGGAACGAGGGACAGGGCCTTCTCAGTGGTGGCCCCCCGGCTATGGAATGCCCTACCAGCGGACATCAGGCAGGCCCCTTCGCTATTGGCGTTTAGGAGGAGGGTTAAGACGTGGCTCTTCGAACAGGCGTTCGGATAAATATGCAATAACAACTGACTCAGGAATGACGGCACATTGAACAAGGAATGGTAATACGACTGTGAGATCGAGATCTGATTCTAATGAGGCGTGATGATTTTTATGTGTATTGTTTGTGTATGTTTGTTATATAGATTGTTCAGTGTTGCACATTTTATTGTAAACTGCTTCGAGTCGCCTTTTTAGGCTGATATTTGCGGTATACAAAAGAAGTAAATAAATAAATAAAATAAATAAATAAGGAAAACCCAGTTGCCCCCAAGGTCAGGTTCCTCTCAGGCCCCTTCCACACAGCTAAATAAAATCCCACATTTTCTGCTTTGAACTGTGATATATAGCAGTGTGGACTCAGATAACCCAGTTCCAAGCAGATCTTGTGGGATTTTCTGGGTTATATGGCTGTGTGGAAGGACTCTGAGATGCTTCCTTCTCCCCCAACCCTTCACTCCTTGGAAAATGACAATTCCCTGCCTGGCATAATAAGGCTGAGGATGACAGGGAAGAGGAGGAGCCCTTTCTTATTCCTCCCAGTCCACACTGCCATATATTCCAGTCCAAAGCAGATATTGTGGGATTTTATTCATCTGTATGGAAGAGGACACCTAGCCAGGCCATGCATGCAACCCAAGCCTATTCTGTTGTTTCAGAATGCACAATCGAACCCCACCTGGCAGATGCCCATGCCTCTACCCCTTCCATATATTAATAATGATAATAAAGAAAGACTCTTGCCATTCTTTGAACTGGGTTATCTACACTGCCATATATGCCAGTTCAAAGCAGAAAATGTGGGATTTTTTATTCAGCTGTGAGGCAGAGAGCCGGATTGCTCCCATCCAGGTAAGCATTGCCCAAACCCAGGTGTCTCAGTCTCTTCCAGACCAACCCGGAGTAAGGACAGCCTCAGCTCTGTAGCCTCTTCATCTCCTTTTACACCAAG